TTTCTTCATTAACAATTTTTTTAAAAAATATATATTAAAATTTAATTTAGAAAAAAAATATAAAAAAATTATAAATTGAAAGAAATAAGAGGTCGATAAAAATATTTAAAAACACTCTTGGAAAAAAAACTTTTTGAAAAACACCATCATTTAAGAGAAATCCTACAAAATGTTATTATTTAAAATAACTATTCCAATTTGATCTCTCTGTAGATCAATTATATTTAACAATAATACTTTTTAGGATTATTCTTTAATAATAATTTTTAATTGATTTTCTTCTATAAAAGTACTTTTGGATGTTTTTCTCAACCTGTCATATGTTTCAATTAATCTGTTTGACTTAAATCAAAACTTAATATTGTTATAAAAAATTATGACTATTAGAAAACAACTTTATAACACTATGTTTATTATAAATCAAGAATATAAGTATATATATTTAATTATAAAAATATTTATATATTATAAATTATAATTATATAAAGTAAACATTTATCTCATATAACGCTTTAATTACTAAAATGTTAGTTTAATTATAATTATTATCTTTTATTAATAATTATAATTCCTTTAAATGGTAAATTTATCCTTTTGTATGTATCAAAAATATATCTCCTCTTTTGTAAACTATATATTTAAGATTTTTTAATTTAGTTGTATATTATAAATTTATGTACCCATTTTTTATTTTATTTTATTTAGTAGAGGGCTAATGCTTGAAACTATATAAGAACAAATCGACGTACAAATACCTCTCAAAACATCACCCAAAAGTACAAGAGCAAACACATGTAGGTGGCTTGTTCAAAATATGCAATCCTACTTGTTGTTGGTGAATAAAAGAAGCTAAGAAATTAGCACTTCTATTACCTTTCCCATATATATGAGAAACCGTGACCTCCCAGTCTTTCAACAATCAATTCCAAACATTGTTCACAATTGCATGAAATAGATGACAAGGCTTCACTTCATGGTTATGAACTATAATGTTAGTTAATTTGGAGTCACTCTCAACCCAAATCTGCTCATGTCCTATCTCTTAAGCATTGTTATTTTGAAGCTTGCTATCATAAGGACTATTATGTCCATAATTGATCTCAATTTGAAATTGAGGTGTGGTGATTTCGTGTTAAACTATGTACTTTTTCTAACTTTCAGACATTTCAGAGAAATTGAGAACTAATAGAGAGAATGTCGACTGTTTGATCATATTGGTATGTAATTATCTTGTTATTACACTCTACATTAACGACTAGTTGGCAAAATTAATAATATTTATATATATAGAAGGTGTTGCATCAAATAAATGTTGTAATTGTCAGTATGTTGAATATTATATGACTTTTATTGGATTTTTATGTAACTTTTGATAAAAGAGAGTACGACATATATAGCAAAAGTGACAATTTATACCAAAAGATATTGACTCTCTTTTCACCCATACAAAAACATGTTTCAATTTTATTATTATTTTTAACTTTTAATCCTTTGTCATAATAGGTAATTTTGATCTTTGAATTTGAGGGTATCAATTGCCAACTTAAACCTATGTATTAATAAATGAACAAACATTGAGTAAATATGACACATAAATATGTGAATAATTTTTCAAAACATTTGATTTTGTTTCTTAAAAGGTTTTTTCACTAGTACAAAAGAGGTGTACTACGTCGAATATTTTAAGCTTTTTACGTCAGAAAACGTACCGACGTAGAAGCGGGAGACGTAAATTTTACGTCGGGGCTTTAAACCCGACGTAAATTTACGTTGGAAATTACGAAACCCGACATAAAAAAGTCATAAAAAAACAAAAAAAAAAACTTAAGAACGCAGGCAGAACGGCCCGTTCTGCTTGCAGACGTTCTGCTTGCAGAACAAGCCATTCTGCTTCGTAGAATAACAACAACAAAAACGTCCACTACCTACACAAATAAAACAACCAAAAAATCGAATAAAATAGATAACCAGAGTAGCAATGCTAAGTAGAAAAGTGCTAACGAAACCTTGTTTCATACCTGAGGAGCAGCAACAATGTGCAAATGAGTAACAAAGAGTTCATCCCTCTGCAAAAAACAAGAAAACGATTCAGTAACAAAGAAGAGGGAGAGGGTTTACAGAGAAAAAAATGAAAAGTGATAAGTGAATGCGTGCGGTGTGCCTCGCGCTCTCTTATTCAAATTTGCGTCTTTTTTACGTCGGACCTGGTAGGGTGCGACGTAGATTGGACTTTTTACGTCAGACTTCCCAGGTGCGACGTAGATTGGACTTTTTACGTCGGACCTTACCAGGTGCGACGTAAAAAAGTTCGCAAAAATTACAAAAATGCCACCGCATTTTTTTTACGTCGGATTTTCGTATTTCCGACGTAAAAGGAGTGACGTAATATGCTTATTTCCTACTAGTGTTTTAAGATAAAAACTTTATATATATGATAAATAAGGAATTATGCTTATTATGAAAATTGTTTAACATAAAGGTAACAATGTAGAAAGAACATCAGACGCTTTATCCCTATGGATGTTTAACAAATATATGGTGTTACGTAACATAGTTGAACACGATTAATTAAGTTAATTGTTATATTAACAAAAAGTTAATTAATTTACACCATATATTTGTGCTAAATGCTTTGTAAAAGGTTAGGAATTTATATATACCTTTGTAAAAGCATTTCTAAATCTTTAAAATATATTGAAGATTTTAAGAAGTCTTGTTATTATTAAAACACTTTTTTAGGTGTTTAGAATTTTATAAGTATTTGGTTTTATCAGTTCTTTAACATTGTCATACTTGGTGCCACACATAATTTTAACTTAGTGTTATATTTCAGGGTACTAATTATGGCTCTCATGCTTAGCCTAAACTCCTCTCTTAGTGTCAAAGTCACTAGATTTTCTCTATGGTTCTTGCACTTAACTAGATAAAACCCTTGCATAGTGTGAAAATAATACCTTTCTTTTTATGATTCTCTCTTAGTAGATATCATTCTCTCTTAACGTTTAAAATAGAGTAGTTCTCTATGACCATTACACTTAGCATCACTCTCCTTGCAGGACTAAAGTGACAAATAACATCACCTAGGCTTAGTGTTAGGTCTCCATACTTGCATAGATACACGATTTGCACAATTATAATTTTGTGATTTACAATATTCTTAGATTCTTTAAGCCTCTTGCTCATTCCATTAGTCCAATATTAATTATGAATTTAGGAATTTACTCAAATTAATCTAATATTATTTTATACAATCTAATTCTTTATTAATTTATTAATTCACAATTCAATCGTGACTCTCTCAAGAACTCTAATATATTAATATTTATCACATATATAATTTATCCAATCTAATTACAATAGTAATTAACAATTATACCAACACAAGCATTTATAGAACTTATCATAACAACACACAAATCCACCGATAAGAATTTCATTAAACAACACCATAATCCTACATTGAGAAAAAGTTATGGTAACTTAATATATTTAAACCGTTTGATTTGTAATAATGGATCAGATTGTGACACGTGTACATTTAAGTCAAATTATATATTGTACACGTGTCACAATCTGATTTATTTTTATAAATATAACAATTTAAATGCATTAAATTATCATAACTTTCATATCTCAAAGTTAGAGGATATGAATCCTACACATGTATAAAGCCTAATTATTAATCACAATTAACAAAAAAAATCACGTAAAATTAATAAAAACATATGAATTCAAGAACCATTAATTAACATAATCAAATCATTTAATGCAAAACAAGAATCCTCACGAGGTCTATGGCAAACTCTTCTACCTACAAACAACCCTTACTATACCTATGTGTGAGACAACCTACTTCTCATGAAAAGAACCTCCAAAGATAAGACTACAAACGAATGATGACTTCCTCAAAGTTCTTCTCCAGAATCACAATGTTATGAGATAATAAAATTCAAAGATAACACACAAAAAATGAAATAAATTAAATTTAAACTACAAAAAAAAAACTTCTTTTCAAGAAGACATATTAGACTCATATGTTAAAAGCCCTACAACTTCCAAATCCAAATTTTATTAATTAAAGACCTCTTTTATTTATCTAAACATATTCAATTATAAAACTCATTTAATAACAACTTATTTTCTCAAATATTTAATTTGGTTAAAAATACATATTATTATTTTAATTATAAAATCTGGTCAATGTTACAAAAATATATTACGAACTCAATTTAGATAATTATGATCGATATATATATATATATATATATATGAAATTTATATATTAATTCGTAACCAAAAAATTTATATACATTAATTACAATATATATACCAAAACTTAAAAATAATCCTTAATAACTTAATTTTTAAGTTTTGGTATATATATTGTAATTAATGTATATAACTTTTTGGTTACGAATTAATATATAAATTTCATATATATATATATATATATAATTTGCTAATAATTATTTCTTTGTTCATAATAATTAAAATAATAGGTAAACTATACATTTTTTTTTGTTAATTTAAATCCTAATATGTTATTTTACAACAAGAGAGTCGTAGCAAGTTAATATCTATTAATAATATATTACTGTACATAGACTATTAAAAAATTCGTGTACATAAATAATTTAGATATTTTTGCTCATCAGAATAACTTTTTGAGTTAAAGGATGTTTGACTGTTAATATATACATATATTCATTATAAATAGAAATTCCATAAATATATATGTTTATTACGTGTAACTTTGTCTGAATAAAAGATATTTATATGATTGAAGAAAATCCCCAAACTAAGAATATGGAATTTGGTTCTAATGCATACATTAAAAAAAAAAAAAAAAAAAAAAAAAAAAACAGAATCAATCCAAGTTATGAAAAAAAATTGAACCAAACAGAGCTTAATTTGCTTGATTGTATGGCGGTAAGAAGCCAATCAATACGTAGTAAAATTTCCTTCTTAAATACGACAATTGTTGAAGCCAAAATCCTATATAAGCAATGATGCCACACGTAAACTCATCAGAGAACTACGTCATGTAAACATGTTGGTAGGAATCTGTGAACCAAAATCATTTTGCTAATGATGTGAGTAATGTTGGAGTGGAGTTTGAATGTTGCAAGTGATGATTTCACCCTTCAACTTAAGCATAGAGTCTCTTAGAAGTGATATGGAATTTTAACATGATTTCAACAAATATTGTGGGGCCTAATTTTCCTGGTTGAAAAAGAAAGTGTCCAAATTTGTGAGGAGAATGTGTAGAATATTAACAGAACCGTATAGTATACCCACTACAGGCACAGCTCCCGCTACCCCTTCTCGTGTTTTGATTTCTGAAATTACATCTCATATTTGTTGTTGTTATCCTCTTGTACTTTTGTTGACATAGGTGAGATCTTGTTTTATAGGCGGTCTTGCATAAGAGTTGATTACTGGGGTAGGTCATAGAGGCTAACATAATAAAAGGGCACTATTGTTCAAAGTTCAAACCTCAAGAAGCTAACTAAGCTACACATACCTCACCATTTCATATAGTTCTGTTCCCCTCAAATGGAGGCTAATGCTTGCACTATGCATTCCCATTGCTTAGAAATGACCATGGAAGTGCACCAAGTTGTTCCACCACCCCACAAGAGTACCCTACAGAAACTTAAGGCCAGACTCAAGGAAACCTTTTTTCCTGATGATCCTCTGCGCCAATTCAAGGGACAACCTCTTAAGAGAAAGCTAATCCTTGGAGCTCAATATGTGTTTCCTATTCTTCAATGGGGTCCTAAGTACAACCTTAAACTCTTTAAATCTGATCTTGTTTCTGGTCTCACTATTGCTAGCTTGGCCATCCCACAGGTTTGTCAAGTTCTAGTCCTCTCTTTGTCTCTTGATCATAAAATGTTCATTGTTCAATTCTCTCATTCAATTATGGGCTTTTTCATTCAGGGAATAAGTTATGCTAAGCTTGCAAGTCTTCCTCCAATTGTGGGACTTTGTGAGTGTATTGATTTTGATTTATCTCCAAAAGATTGTGCTAATTTATGTTGCTTGCTTATTATGGGTTGTTGTGTTGGACTTGCATATTTCAGATTCTAGTTTTGTTCCCCCACTTGTTTATGCTGTTCTAGGAAGCTCAAAGGACCTAGCAGTAGGACCTGTTTCTATTGCTTCTCTTGTGTTGGGATCCATGCTGAGACAAGAAGTGTCTCCCACAGCAGAACCTGTTCTGTTTCTTCAGCTAGCTTTTACTTCAACGTTATTTGCTGGTCTCTTTCAAGCTTCTCTTGGAATCCTTAGGTAATCACTTTCCCTTTATATTAAACAATTTTATTTTTTATTTTTTGCAATCTGAAAAGGTATAAGAATCATTCTGATGTGTAACATAAGGAGTTATTATCAATGATTGCAGGCTAGGCTTTATCATTGATTTTCTATCTAAGGCCATCCTTATTGGATTCATGGCTGGAGCTGCTATAATTGTCTCACTGCAACAGTTAAAGAGTCTGCTTGGAATCACACATTTCTCAAATCAGATGGGGCTAGTTCCTGTCATGAGTTCTGTTTTTCACAACATACATGAGGTTACTTATTCTTAATTTTTACACACAAACACAAACAACCACATAGAATTCTACTCCATCTCTATATTCTCTCTTAAAATAAAATCTGTTTGTGGTTTCTCTTGTACAGTGGTCATGGCAAACAATCTTGATGGGGATTTGTTTCCTGATGCTACTACTATTAGCGAGACACGTTGTACGTTGTTCTCTTCAATCATTTCTTACTTTTTTTTTTCCCTCTCCTTTTCTTTTACTTATTTGCACTTTTTTGTCTTACTATATTTTTCACATACAGACTACCAAGTTAAGACACCTTTAGAAAGCATATATTTTATATAATATGGTATACTTTAAGTCACTCCCTACTAGCAATTAACTTCCAAGAAATAAGACAAGACCATTAACACAACATCATATATTATCTGACATATATAATTCCAGCGGCACCTATCAAACACCTGGGTCAGGACTCAGGATTACACCTACACCTTGGGTTCACACACTGACACAGTTTCATAGTCATAGTTATGATGCACTCCAAGACCCAAGTTCATCCTTTGTAACCGTAAACAAGGCTATTTTTGCTGAGTAATATCTTAAAGAGATTAATTATCCTATAATAATTTTTTCATTAATTCTTTTATAATTCACAAAAATACTAAATAAAAAATTTGAAGTAAATAGAATTATAATTTAAAAATATTAATATGTTCTTCATTTGATATAATAAAAAATATTATTAAAAAAATTGACATTTATTAGTTAAATAATTTATTTTTTTAAAGAGATTAATTATCCCAATAAAGTTTTATTAGTTATTTTAATGTTTTATAAAATATTAAATAAACTAAATCCATTTAATAGTTAAATATTTTAAAAAAAATTAGTGTTTTTCATTTGGAAAATAAATTTTATTTATAAAAATTAAATTAATTTAATTGATTGATTAAATGTCTTAATTATTATAAAATTAATAGTTAATTTAATTTTCCAATAATAATTTTATTTTTCATTAATATTTAATAATACTTAAAAAAAATTTTGTTTGACATAAAATTCATTAGAACTACTATTATGAATTACTTTTTATTATTTATTTATATCATTTGGAGATTTTTTTTTTTACTAATACGTATATATTTCATTTTACTTTTTTTTTTTTTAACTTCTATGACATATATTGTTTATTATCTCTCCTTCACTTTTATCTTCTTTTCACCTCTTACACCCTATAATTGAGAAGTACATGAAGAAGTTAAACTTTAATAATATATTTTAAGTAAACAGTTAGAATTAAATTTAAATAAATTTATATTGACAACTCATATATTTATATTTTTATGATTATTTTTTCTCATTTTAAAATACGTGATGACATTGAATTTTATTATATATTAAAAAAATTATTTAGTGAATTACACAATAAATATTTGTAAAATATGAAAGAAATCAAATTAAAAATAAATAAGAAAACACTGATTTACTTGATAAAAAATATTTTATTGACGAAAATACATATTAAAAAATAAAAATTGATATTTAAAAATTTAATTTTTTATTTTAAAAATTAATTAATTAATGATATGTGCTTTGAAGATGATTTGTAATATCTTATTTTTTTTTTGGAAAATATTGAATATTAATTAAAAAAATATAAAAATTAAATATTTCCTTTGATTAAATTATTATTTCAAGAAAAATATTAATTTAATTGATATAAAATAATATAAGATATATAATATAAAATAAAAGGATAAATGACTCTATGTATAAAAATGTTTTCAAAACAATTATCTTATGCTAAATGATCAAGTTTGAATCCTATAAAATAAAAAATAAAAAACTATACTTTAAAATATAAAATATAATTATAGCCTATAAAATCTCAAGCGTGTGATTCAGCCGTAGGGGTTGATTCACGCTTAAGCAAGGTCAGGAGTTCGAATCCTGCCTTGTGTATGCAGCTGCGTTAAATTTTAGGGCCAGCTATCCCACCCTTTGAGGTGCCTCCAACTAGGCATGGCAATCTAACCCGCTCCCGTGGGTACCGCCCGAACCTGCCCCGATTTGGATGGGGAAAACTTGATAGGCGGGGATGTTAATACCCACCCCAAAAAAGAAAAAAAAAATAGGAGCGAGGGCGGGGCGGGGAAACCCAAACCCTGCCGGAGGTGGGGATGGTGACCCAGATTTTATCCCCGGCGAGTAGCGGGGGCGGGAACAGTTTAAATTTGCGGGGGCGGGAGCGGGGAACGTAAAACC